AAATATATATAGAACTATGTATAAAGTGTGTAAATATAGAAGCAAAATATTATATACATGTACAGGTATGATGACATAAGAATGTTGATATAATGACTGTAAGGTGTTGTAGAAGGGAAAAAATAATAAAAAAATCTGTCGGGGGGGAAAAAGTTTTTGCACTCTGCAGACCTCGCAAAAATGACTCGTTTTTCACAAAAACAGGCCCATTTTTTTTTGAAAAAAAAAATGCACGAATAGCCTTTAGGAGGCTTGTAGGAGTGCTCCTGGGGGGTGGGAGTAGCAAAAACGAGCAAAACGGACCCGTTTTTTTGTCAAAAAATTGCCATGCATGGCCTTTAGGAGGCTTACAGAGTGCTCCTGGGGGCTGGGGGTGGGCAAAATTGAGCAAAAAACGGCCATTTTCTGCTCATTTCTGCCTTCCCCAGCTCCCAGGAGCACTCTGGAAGCCTCCTAAAGGCTATGCATGGCCATTTTTGCAAAGGGGACAGGGTTTTGGGAGGCCACAAATGCTGTATTCAGTGTATGAGACGCACCCAGATTTTCAACCTCTTTTCTGATGGAAGAAGATGTGTCTTATACTCTGAAAAATACGGTATATGGTGAATAACGGTATGTATCAGATTTTGAAAAGTGACTATAATGTAAATACTAAAATAATTGTTGCTTTATTTCACAGACTCAAGCAGGCGAAGGCAGAGTATACAAGTGTCTATTTAACCACAAGTTTGAAGATGCCATGAGTGAAAAGGTGAGTGCTGAATTCAGCCTTTTAGTCGCTGCCCCTTCCTTCACCCAAGGTTTGGCTTCTCAGTCACCTCTTGGGTTTCTCTAATCTATGCACCCAAGAGAGGATAAGCCAGCTGACTAACTAGAGTCATGAGTTCCCACACCGCAGTTGCTTATTCACACAAGCACCCTAAGCTCAAATAAATCGCCTTATGGCTTAAAGAGATAAGGTAGTTCATGCAAATTTTGAGACTGTGGCTGGATTCTAAAATAGGCTGAACCACAAATTCCCCAGTTCCTTTTGCGTCCACTTAGGCAGGTCTATGGAGATCATATTAGCTGGGTGGGAGGACAGTAGAAAGGAGAGGAGATTTAGGTGGAGGCATGGAGTCAGTATTAGGACATCTCTGTCTGTGCTTTGTGAACCAAGGGAAAGTTGCCCTGAATTGCAGAATGTAGCACAGGTAGACCTTGACTTACAATTGTAATTAAGTTTGGAAATTACAGTGGTAAGTTGTGGTGGCCATGAAGTGCATCCACCACAAGACCAGAGCCATTTTTTCAACCTTTCTGTGGCAGTGATTAAGCGATTGTGGCGGTTATTAAATGAAACACGTCAGTTGCTAAATAAACCCATTGTTCGCGATGGGCCTGGTTTTGCCTGAAACGAAGTAAACATCAGTTTGGGACAAAGATGTCATAAAGTCAACTTGTTGGACAGAGCAAGTTGAAAGAGCACCCTGGGCTAGTCTATTGTAGCACTTCTGTCCCTTGGTCTAGTGAAAGTCAGGATAATTTCTGAATGACAAAAGAGGTGGTGTATTGATATTAAGTTTGAGCAAAATTGTATGTTCCGGGGAATAAGAAAACGTTCCGCTTTCCTTCCAGATACATACTGATTCAGCCCATCCAGGGTTGGTCTACAGATAAATCTTTTGGAACAGGAGTTCATAGTTTCTCAGGGCCACTTCCTGCTCCAGAAGATTTATAGCCAGAAAAAAAAAGGTTGTGCGATTCCCAAAAGAATTGGACTGATGTGATATAGAAAAATGGAGCCCTTTGTAACCATGGAGCATTTTGGGATCTTCTAATTCAGATGTGTCTTCATTTTTAATTGGGGCAAAATTTTAATTATGTCATAAATCAATATAAATCAAAGGTGAATGGTCAGTTGACTTGAATTCTCGCTTGTCCCCTTCAGTGTCGGGATGCATTGACCACTCGGCAAAAGTTGATTGCCCAGGATTACAAAGTCAGCTACTCCTTGGCCAAATCCTGCAAAAGCGACCTGAAAAAGTACCGTTGTAATGTGGAGAATTTGCCTCGTACCCGGGAAGCCCGTCTCTCTTACCTGCTCATGTGCCTCGAATCTGCTGTGCACAGAGGTAGTGTTCATCCTTTTTGCTCTTTTGTCATACCCTAGTTTGTGAACAGAACAGAACATACCGTATTTTCCGGCATATAAGATGACTTTTTAACCCCAAAACAAAAGAAAAAGCAACGCCGTCAAGCAAAAATCTGCGCCGCCACCAGCCCAGATGCTGGCCTTTCAATCGATAACCTCGGCGCTCCTTGCCTGGGCATGTGGATGGATGAGCGCTGGGATGGCTTAGTAAAGTCTGGCTGGAGGTCTGGAGGAGGAAGGTGCTGAGCTCAAACTACGAAAGCCCGGCAGCACGGAGGCCTTCATTCAGTTGGCTTGTGGGCGCCTGAAAGTAGGGGGTCGTCTTACACACCCAGTCACCTTATATGGCGGAATATACGGTAACAGAAATCTGTGGGTGCAGCCCTGGTCACTGAGATGCATGCAGAATCCTTAGATAGCACAGGAGAAAAACACATTAAATAATAATATATTTTTTAACAAGTGTAGCATCTGAAATGTAAAAAAAAAAAAAAAAACTTCAGAATTTTTTTGCATGAAAATCATGTCAGTCTCTGGAATCTGAAGGAGAGGAAGCCACAGGGAATTGACATCCCCCTCTCCCCCAAAAGCCTGGAGTGACTATATGGCTGTACTCTAGAAAGTGCATTTACGGTAGTTTAGAAAAATCCTTGTAAATGGGTGAGTTTAAAAAAGCATACTGTTCTCATCCACTGTGTCGTTCTGGTTCCTTGCACCTGACGGGACAGATGTTGGCATTGGTCAACAAAACATTTTTATCAGCCATTGTCGGAAGTTTGGCTATTTAGGCTATTTAGAGTATTAAAACCAATGTTATACTTTGAATTTAATTTGGAGCCGGACTTCTGATTGTCCCTGAATTAACATGCATAGTGCTGACACCAAAGTTGGGAAACCTTTAGTGCAGCATTTTCAAACTTGGCAACTTTTAGATGTGTGGACTTCAGCCCCCAGGATTGTGGGAATTGAAATCCACAGAAAGCTTGAAACGCTTCTTTAGATCCATTCATAATCCCGCAGAATTGTGACCTTCAAAACAATCAGAGCTTGATCTAAAGACTATTAATAGTTAAAGAGAAACTGACTAAAGAGGCAGCTTTATTGAAGACTTTAAGCCAATATCCACTGTCTTTGTTGGGAAGTATATGCAAAGTCATCCATCAGAAGACAATTGTGAGTTTCGGGGCACGTTTGAGCAGCTCCGTCTCTTCAAAAAAAGAGACCAATTGTTTGCCCTCTTGGAGCTTCTGTTCATAGGAGAAAATAGTGGCAATAAATCATGTCACGATTAAAAGAGAGCTCTGTGGTCCTTGGAACATGGATTTGGGATGTTCGTGAGGTTAGAGCTGGCTACAAAGCAATTTCTAGAGACATTGGATTCCAGGTCAGGCAAATGGAGGAGCACCTTGTTATTCTTCTGAGAACAGATCATCCAAGATCAAGGGGCCCAAAGAATCCTGAGAATAAAGGATCTACTGGCCCTTATGTTGCTTGATGTCCGTATTCATGAGTCTACCAACAGGGCAACACTGAAGAACAGTCTGCATAGGAAGATATTAAGGATAAAATCTCTACTTTTTCAGAAACTGCATTTCTGCCTGTCTCAGATTTGCCAAAGACCCCCTGAATGACCCAGCAGGCAGTTGGAACAATATTGTGTCGGGAGCTGGGACTAACAAAAGCAGACTTTTGAGCCTTAATGAGAAACGCTGTGTTTGGAGACAATGAAACATTGCATTTCAATAAAAGTGCCTCACTCAACTGTGAAGCATGCCAGTGGGAGTATCATGGCTTGGGGCTGCTGTGCAGCTCTCGATGGCTGAGTGAGCAATTGATTCTGGATAATAACCAGCAAATTCTGCAGGAGAATGTCAGGCTGTATTTCTGTGAGATGAAGCTTACACAGATGTAAGTGATGCAGCACAACAACAAGTCGGGGTGTACAAATGAATCTATGGCAGTTGGCTGGGCCAAAAGGGATTTTTGCATTTTGGGAGGGCAAGTTAAAGCCCTGACTTTTAACCCACCTGAGACGCTTGTAGTGTCACCTGACATGAGCAGCCATGCAAGACAAGCTCCAGATATCAACGAATCAAGGTATTTCTGTACGACCATAGTACATCTATGCTAAAATGCAGGATTGCATCATTGCCAGTTGCAGGAAGTCTGTCCAGTAAGTAAGTCTAAAATTTCACGCACTTTCCCCAACAAAGACAGTAGAAGTTGGTTTAGAGCGTTTAATAAAAGAAGGGGCAGACTGAAAACAAAAACGTGTTCAGATATGTATGTGAGTAATTTAAAGCAATGCTCTTATTAGGAAAAGGTTCAAGCCTGAAAAAACTAAAAATGCCGGTAGCTGGGTTGGTGCCTGCCTCAGCTCTATTCCTTTCACTCAGTCAAGTCATCCTTTTTTATCAGCTTTCTGATGCTGAAATTGGTGCATCCTATATATACCAAATGCAGCCATTTTTGGCCTCCCGAAGCTGAGGCGTTTTTGCCTTTCCCCAGCCTCCAGAAGCACTCTGCAGGCTTCAGCAGGGCTGGGGGAAGGCAAAAATGCCTCAATTTTTGTGAAAAATGGCCCATTTTTAGCAAAAATGGGGCTGTTTTTGCCTTCCCTGAGCCCTGCTGAAGCCTGCAGAGGGCTGCCGGGGGCTGGGAGAAGGCAAAAAATTTTTTTTTCTTAGTTACCTCTTCGAAACCTTGGTGCGTCTTATACACTGGTGCGTCTTATACTCCGAAAAAATATGATAAATGTAAAATTTCCAAGTGGAAAATCCCTTTCCCAATTTTTGTTATTGCAACAAGAGTGTCTATGTAATGCACGAGTCCCAGCCAGAGCAATT